TTCTTGAAAATTTCTATGGCCCTTTCTTGTTTGCCTTCTTTGAGTTAACACCACTTTTTGACTTCCTTGAAGTGCAATCTTGAAGTCTTCATGTAATATCATCCTTCTTAGTCTTCTTATGTTTGGACTTGGACAAATTCTTCGTTCCTTCCAAAAGTGCTTCTAAACCCAATCACTTGGTTTGTTGAAATTGTGCTTGGATTTATTTTTCCTCCATTTGGTATTTTGCATTTGCATTCTCCACCATAACATTCTGCTTTCTTGACCATGGAATTATTTATACAAATTCTTGGACAAGTAGTTTTCCACAATGCCTTTCACCTTAGGTTTCTTATGTCCATGGTTACCTACACAATAAGGAAGCAAGTTAGTATCTTTAAAATCAAGATGTATTTTATACTTACCTTGTAAGAAAATCTCAAGATCATGAGAAGATGATAGGATAACTCTTCTTGGCTCCTTTATAGCTTCCTTTGTTTCTTGTATTTGATCGAGCTTGAATTGAAAAGTTGGAACTTCCTGCAAAAATCTTAGAAAAGTAGAAAGACTAGGATAAAATATGTGAGGTTGATAGTAAGGGTCCTTATGCAACAATGCTATAAGATTTGACTTATATTGACAAATGGATTGTATCTTGCTATTTTCCTCTTCTTTCTCCTTTGAATTCCTTTCTCTTAACTCTTCTCTTTCTCTCTTTTCTTTGAACTCACTTTCATCAACATCAGAATGTTTGCTATCTTGTTTAATAAATTCATCAACATGTGCTTTAGATTCTTCCTCAAATTTTGCATCATATTTCTCACAACCATCATTTGAATCAACGACACCATTTCTTATTACCATGACTTCTTTATTGACATATTCTTTGCTCATGTGTCCAAACCTTTTGCACTTCCAACATTTAAGAGAATTAGTCTTCTCCCTTACCTCCTTTGGAACTTCATTGTTTTTGGCATTGGAGCTCTCGGCCTTCACTCTTTTGGCAGCACCAAACTTCCCTTTTGGTTGCATGAATTCATTCCATTTGGAATGCTCCTCTTCTTTCCTCAATTGATCTTCAATTTTGATAGCATGGTGATACATATCTTCCAAGTAAGGTGGTGGATTTCTATCAATATGATGAACAATTTCCAGATTCAAACCTCCAAGGAATCTAGACATGGTGTCTTCCTCTTCTTCTCTAATGTGTGCTTTTTCCATTAAAATCACCATCTCTTGATAATACTCATCAACACTTTTTGTTCCCTGCCTCAAAGCTTGCAGTTTAGTTTTCAAATCATTTTTATAATGTTTGGGAGCATACCTCATTCTCATAGCTTCTTTGAGTTTTTCCCAAGTTTCTATTTGATCCTCATCTTTCCTTCTTTTCTCAGATTTGAGATGTTGATACCATTCATTAGCATGATTAATGAATTCGGCAATGGCAAGTCTCATCTTCTTATTTTCACTATATGTAGAGCAATGAAATCCACGTTCTATCTTCCTTTCCCATCGCAAGTAAGCATCGGGGTCCGTCGTTCCACTAAATGGTGGAATTTTGAGTTTAGCTTCGCCATCTCTCTTTTCATTTACTCTTTCCCATCTCCTCGGTTGCATAACGTTGGCAAAGTTATTCCTTCCTCTACTCCCAACTTGTTCTTTTTGTACATCGAAGTCAAACAAACCTTCATCTTCTTGTAAGACTCGTTCTTCTCTTTGTTGTTGCACCCTTCTTTCCTATCTATCTTCCCTCATCATTTCCACCATACCTTGAATTGATTGAAGAATAGCCATAGTAGGATCTTGCGGTACTTCCTGTGACATTTTGTTAAAAAATAAAATAACAAAATAAGGACCTTTCCACTCCTCTCACTAGGATTTGACTCAAGGACACTCGTGTTTATCACTCGAGGGTAGGCTTTTGATACTAGGTCAAAGATGTAAGGGTTGGCTTAAATTTTGGTGCAATCTTGCTTAAAGCTTGATATAACTAATTCAATGATCAACTCTCACAAACTAAG